ACCGAGCCTTCCTCTGCTGGGGGCTGGGCCTGGTTTCAATGCCGGATGTCATCTTGGTGGTCCCGAGCATGACGTGGGTTCCCTAGCGAGCCAGGACACCGCCCCCAGCCGCGCTGGGTCAGCGGGAAGGCTCAGGCTCTGCCCCCCAGGGCGTGCATCAGGGAGGTGACATGCGAGGCCCGTACCCTGCTCGCTGCAGCGACAGTCGGCGTCCCTGCTGGCTGTGGGACCTGGCCGTGTGGCGGGGTCGTCCTACTCACGCGTGGCAGGGCCCCTGCACGTGCTGCCTGTGTCTGACTGGTTATGCGTGTTTGGATCCAGTGTTAGAGGCCACAGTGTTAGTTGGTGGGTGTGTGTAGTTATCAACGTCACACTTGTGTGCCTGGGGACAGGGCCAGGCCCGGACGAGCCATTGCACCCAGTCCAGAGCAGTATCTGCCAGAGGAGGCTGGGCAGTGGGGCCCCTTCCAAGATGAAGCTGCATCGTGGGGGTGTGCCTGCTCGTCGCGACACGACAGGGCACGGGGGCCGGCGCGTGCCCTGCAGCTGCAGGAGGGACATCCCCCGAGGCATGCCTGACTCCAGAGCCACACCTGTCCCCTGAGCCTTCTGGAAACTGTCCTCATGGGCGGCAGCTGTGCTGATGGTTCTGCCCCGTGAAGGCCTGGCCTGGGAGGCGAACGATGGGTCCGTGGTGAGGGAGTGAGTGCTGGTGAGCGTGCTGGTCTCGGAGAAGCCCTTCTCTCGTGGTGAGGCTGCAGAGAGGGCCGTGAGCCAGCAGGGGCAGCTCGGAGTGTCCCGAGGAATTATGTGGCATGGTGGCCAGTCCCGAGCGCACACCTCATCCGGGTCTGTGCCCTCGTGTGGTCTGCACGTGGTTGGCCCAGCCATCAGGAGTGCCAGGGATAGTACTCCCCACCATGGCGCACCCTCTCTTGGCCCCGAGCCCTCCTGTCTTCTGGCTCCTGGACGCAGTGGACTCGAGGCACTGTCCACACTGTCCTGACGTGAAAGGCCCACTGTTAGCGCAGGCCACGTGCATTAGGACACGGGGTGTGGGAGTGGGGTGCTGTGGGTTTCAAGGTTGACCCTGATGCTTCCCAGGGGAGGGTCTGGTTCGAGGCAGGGGCTGAGGAGGGCACAGTGAACAGCTTCCCCCTTAACCCTCAAGAGCAGTATCACTGCCCCGCTGGGAAGGAACTTTCCAGAAGGGACCTGAAGGACCAAGCCAAGAGGCGTGTCTCCGCAGTCTGGCACCTGTGCCTTACAGCCTCCTGTGCTTGCAGCAGTGGCTCTAGTCCTTGGAAGCCCAGCTTGCTCTGCGCCATGCGTCTGTCCTTTTCCAGACAAGCACGGCCCCTGACTCTCAGCTTCTGCATCTCCGAGCCTCGTGCTGTGGCTGAGACGCCCGTTCTAGCGTCGGTGACTGCAGCCGCACAGGATGCGGGGTCGGGGCTCCCTGTGAGGCAGTGAGGGGTCCCTGGAGGGTCTGCCAAGTGGGTTGGCAGAGGGCTGACTACAGCCAGGCCCCAGGCGACGGTGGTCAGCAAGGCAGGTCACTGTGGGGAAGGTCAGTGACCACACAAAGAGAAGTGAGGGCATTGTGTGGCACAGCTTCACATGGGGAGGGTATCCCCACTTTTCTTTCACATTTTACCTTTGAGCTGATTAAAACAGCCATAGCCAGGTTCGAGAAAGTTCAGAAACAGATGAAAAGTAAACCTGTCTTCCCATCTCAGCAGAAGCCAAGGCTTTGTGGGTTTTATGTACTCTCTTCCAGTCTTATCCCGCAGGTGTCTAAGTACTGGTGTGGATTGCGTGTTCCCTGAGCAATGCAAGCAGCTGGTGCTGGACTGCTGACCTCATTAACGGTGATGGTTCGAACCCCTCCAGCAGCTCCACTGAAGGAAGTCCTCATCCGCTTCTGTGAAGATTCAAAACTGAACAAAACCAAACCTGTTACTGATAAGTGGATTCCAACTCACAGTGACCCTAGAGGGTGGACCAGGACTGCCCCAGAGGGCTTCCTAGGCTGTCAGTCTTTACAGGAACAAAGATCAAACCATACCCATAGCTGAGGAGTCCATTCTGACTCGCAGCACCCCTAGAGGACTGAGTGGAACTGCCCACAGGGTTTCCAAGGCTGTCAGTCTTCACAGAAGCAAAGCCCAAACCACACCCACTGCCCTGGAGTCCATTCTGACCCACAGCGCCCCTAGAGGAC